GGTGCCGGGGGCTCCTTCACACAGGTGCCGGGCGGGGCCGGCGCACCAGTCTCTCTCACCCTCCCGTGGCCCTTCGCGGGGCCTGTGGGTCTCCCTGTTCTTCAGACAAAGCACGTGGGGTTCGCCTCACCCAGGGTCTCCGGGCGCCTCCCCTGCAGGTCTGACCTCAAATGCACGCTCTTCCCACCCTATCATGATTCCAGGGGCCTGCCCCGCGCCCAAGAACACCAGGGCCACCGAAAACAGCGGTATAACTCGTAAGTACTGACCGAGGGCCTACTTATGTGGCAGGCACTGCCCGGGCTCTGGGGACAGAGCAGTGAGCGGGAGGGGCTGACACTTGGGGATGCCCACCCAGGCTGGGGAGGAGGGGACCCACCCCAAGAGCTCTGCCCCTCCGCCTGCCGCCCGGAGCCCTCCGCCGGGGCCCCACCCCACCCCGCTTCCTCTCCCCATCACCTCACCCCGTGCTCCAGCTGCACCCGAGTGCGGGTGGGGGGCCTTCCCCAGCCAGGCGTCGGCACACCCCCGGGACGCCCCGCCCACCCGCATCCAGACCCGGTGCAGAGCCATCAGAACGCCGCCCGTGCCCCCCTCTGCCCGGGCCCTGCAGAGTGAGGCCCTCTCCCTCCCCTCCCCCCGGCTCTCCGAGCTCACTCCGGCCACACAGCAGCCCGACGACGTCACAGAGAGTGCAGCCGGACGCCTTCCCCAGCACCTCACCCGCAAACCCTTCAGGGGCGTGGAACCACCGTAAAACGCAGGGAAGGGAAAGGGAAGCAGTTCGGCCACCCCTTCGACCCTTTAACGACCCCACAGACTCACGGCGGAAGTCATTTACGAAACGGCTGAAGGAAGTCCTTTCACCTAAACACACTCCACCCCACGTAACCACACTGCTACCGGACATCAGGCGGCAGATGTGTGCTCACTGACGTGGGAGGGGGAAAGGTAGGAAGGGACGCCTGCATCCGGCCCTGGCCGCGTCCGACACTGAGCACGGCTCCTTGCGTAAGTGACTTAGGCCCGAGGACAGCCCTCGGGGCAGACAGGCGCAGAGCCAGTTCCCGCCGCACAGGGAGGGAGCGCAAGGCGGAGTCTAGCCCCAGCCCCGGGTGCCAGGACGGGTGTGCAGGGAGCAGGGGCCACCTGTACCAGTGCACGCTCCCGACGGTGCTGGGGCCCATGCGGACGCTGACGGCTCAGGGGAAGCAGGCACCCACTGGGGCCAGGGCACCCACGCCCTCCCTGCGCAGGGCAGCCAGCTCACCCAACCCAGAGGGCCGAGGGGAGAGGCATGGGTGCCCCACAGCGGCCTGGTCCCACGGGGCCCCTGTAGGCCTTCGGGGCCGTTGGTGACAGCCCTGCACCTCAGCCTGCACACGGCAGGCCCAGCAGCCCCCGCGCCCCGGCACAGCCCTGGGGCCACCCCCACTGCCACGTGGTCCCAGGTTCCCTCGCACAACCTGCCACGCCCTCAACGGTCGCCGGGACAACAGGCAGTGACAGCTCCCCTGGCCAGGGAAACTCGAGTACCATTTGGGAGGAACATTTAAACATCCTCGAAACTCTACCAAGGGGACGCCGTAGCTTTTCTCGCCGTTGGGAACAAGAGGAAACGACGGTACCGGTGTGTCCTAGTGATCCGCTCGGCTCGTTTCCAACGACCCAGGCAGGGCCTCTCCCGGGAGAGGAGACCCCCCCTTCCGCGTCACGGCCACCAAACCCTGGGGACACCGCCGCGCTGACAAGGGAAGTGGAGGCAGCACCGTCGGCACCGAGTCCGAGCGTGGCGCCCGCAAAGGGCTACGGGCCTTGCGACCTGCTCTGCAGCCCCCTCTCCGGCGGAAAAGTACCCTCCCGCGTCCTCTCCCGCAGCACAGGGGCGCACCTGCGGCCACGTCACATCTCAGGGGCGGCCGGGAGGCCCGGGCCTCACACACACAAGGCGAGAAACGACCTCATTGGCCGCCCGCCGGCCGGACTGTGACCAGACAATGCTCCGCGGTGAGGTGGGGGTTTGTGCCGCAGGTTCCGCGGTCTCCATGGCGACGGAGCAGGGCGGTCTGACGCGGGCGTCTGCTGTGTCCTGAGCGTTAGGTTTTGTTCACGGGAGACCCCGAGATCGCACCGTGAAGCCTAAAAGGAACGTTAAATAGAGCGAGTTTCTGAAAACAGGTGGCCCTCTGTAGTCCGCACTCAGTGTTCTCAGGGTCAAAGGTTTCTCCCGGAGGAACAAGGAGGCCCCTGCTGGGGACGGAGGCGCCGGCCCGCAAGTCCCCAGCCAGTCTGCAGGAATCGCGGCGAAACGGGCCGCCACCATCCTCCGATGCTCGGGCCTCTTCCTCCTTCTCGCCTGCCCCCCACCCCATGCCGCGGGGCGGCGCTGCAGTCCGCGTGCCCGGGCCTGACAGCCGAGTCATCTCACTCCGGTCCGGGGAGAGACCGGAGTCACCTTCATCTCCGGTCCCCTCGCAGGCCCGTGGGCCGACTGGCGGGGCCCTCAAACCTGAGTGCAGCGTCCAGAGACCAAGGCCCCGCAGACCGAGCCCATGCGGGGGCGGGGTGGGGGATGCCGGGCTGCCCTGCCGGAGGCCCAGGGACCTGAGGACCGACCGCGCCTGGACCGAGGATGTCGGAATGCGGCGGCACCTCAGGGGCAGAGGAGCCGGGAGGGACCACGCCACGGCCGCGCCACATGCGAGTGATGGGAAACGGCGCCGCGTCTGCTCTGCAAAGAGCTCAGGCCTCCCGCGTGACGGGCCCACGTGGCCCCCGGTCGTCTGAGCTGTCGGGGACAGGCTGAGCCGCGCGCCCGCCGTGGGAAGTTGTCGTGGGTGGGCGTGAGGCCCCCACGGGGACTCTCCAGAGAGGCCGTCTCTCCATGCGGCGGATCTGGCTTGGCTGGGGATCCCTCTGGGGGCGGCCTTCGCGAGGAGAGGTGCCCACCTCGCCGAGAACTGTGTTGGTGACCTCCTTTTAATCGCTTGCCACCCGTGCGTCCCCAGAGGGAGCGGACGGCTGGCGTCGCACTTAATGAGCCTGAGGAAGACGCATTTGACTTTTCTGTTATTTGTTACTTCACCCCCTTCTCTGGAGAATGCCAGCCCGGGAAGAAACCTGAGAAACCGCCGGGCTGACCGGGCGTCCTTCCCGCTCCGGCCACCTCGCAGGGAGCCGCCCCACGCCCCTGCCCGCGCAGCTCCACCACGCTGCTTCTGCTAGAAAGGGGACCTGGGCTCTGGAGTGAGGGCACGGGACCCCCGCAGCACAGCCTGTCTGGCCCCCACCCCCACCAGCAGACAGACAGGATGGAGGAAGCCCCCACACGGTCTGAGATGCCCAGGGCCTCCCGCCTGCCCCTTCGGGCTGCCCTTTCAGCCCAGGAGCCCCTTGCTCCACGTGACCTCCTGGGAACGTGCCCTGGCTGGAGCTCTGGCTTCTCTGCAAGGCCTCCCCGCCCCCAGGCCAACCCCAGGTCCCTGGCTGGTACCACGTAATCCCACCACTGACGGCACATGGGCCTGGAGAGGCGGGGGGAGGCCGTACAGGGCCCCCCGGGCAGGGTCCCCCGTGTGCCCCTGGTCCCGGGATGCCGCCCCGGGCAGCCCACCATGCTCGCTCCCACCGCGGTGAGCCCCAGACCTCCGGGCAGGGACGTTCGGCCAAGTGCCTCCAGAAGCTCTCAGGCAGAGGCACGGCGACGTGGAGGCCACCCAGAAGTCCACCCACCAATGGGCGAACCGATGGGCACAGTGTGGTCTGTGTGGACAGGGACGATCCTCAGCCCTAAAACGGAAGGGCCTCCTGACCCCTGCTACAGACAGCGTGGGCCCCCAGAGGGGGAGCGTGGCGTGCAGGGGCCTGGAGCGGGGCCGGGCTCCTGGGGCTCACAGACCAGCTCTCCCACGCCCTCCCGGGTGGCGTGGACGGCACCTCGATGGCCCCGTGCCCCGGCGCCCTCGTCTGCGGGCTGGGACGTCGCCAGCACGCGCTTGCAGGGGTGGTGCGAGATGACACGAGGATGACGCGAGTCAATGCGCGTATTACAGGCCGAGGAGAGAGCGCTGCGCAGGGCCCGCTGCCGCCGCTCCACCACTCACAGCGAGGGCCCTCGGTCCGGGGGAGCCTTCGGGCTGCTTGCTGCGGCAGCCTCGGTCCCAGGAGTTGATCCCGGGAAGCTGTTCGCTGCACAGACAGGTGCACGGGGGGCGGGGGCGGGGGATGGGGGTGGGGGAGGGACAGCCTGAGCGCCCGGCCCGGGGGGACGGTTACGCGCATCGTGGGGAAGACTGCTGGGGTTCAGCGGCGGCATTACTTCTGGGTGTTTCACGTGCGTGTGCATGTGAGGGCAGGGACACGGCACCTGTGTGTCCGTCCTCGGCACCGAACGGCGGTCAAAGAAATCTGCTGGTTAAACCTAGACGGCCATGGACTCTAATGAGGTGGGCCCGCTAATGTTTAGAAACCAGGAAACAGCCTAAGAATATACACAGCTAGTGCAGCCGGAGAAGCGGACCTGGGAAGGAACAGAGCCCTGTGGTCAGCCGCCCTCCCTCCTCCAGGAAGCCCTCCCTGACCTCCCCAGGGGCCTGCCGGGCACACAACCGTTCAAGCCCACTACCTCCACATTCCGGCCCACGACCGGCTGATTCCGGGCCCAGGGCCCGGCACATCGAGAGTCCCAGTTCCTCCCCGGCCACTCACGGCCCAATGCACAGCGGGCCTCGCTCCTCTGGACCCCAGATCATGTTCGGGACCCAAGGTCCTGAGCCTCTAAAACAACCAGGCAAAGTAAACCCCCAAATGCCTTTGAAAATAAAATAATAGTTTTCAAGTGAAGCAAAAGATGTGCATTCACCTTCTGATGCTCTGTGTAGCATTTATACCAGCTTTTCATGTAGAATGAGCTAATTACGTGAGGTGATTGCCAATTTACCTGACACGGTTTTGTCGACTATCCATTTTGCAAAAGCGGACGTCAGCCCGCACATCCTTACCTCGTCAAGAAAACAGGTGAAGTTCTGGAGAAAATACTTCCAGTGTATGCAGGGGGCCAGGTGAAGCCTCAGCTTCCTCAGGAAGTAGTGGTACTGGCTGTCTGTGAGCGTGTGGCAGAAGTCCTTGAGGACCTGTCCAAAGTCCGAAGCCTTCACGAACCCAGTGTCCTCTCTGTCCAGGGCAGAAAACGCCTGCAGAAAGGAAGGCAGGCGCTCCTGTCAAGCAAAGATGTCCGGGGGTGTTTTTCTTAAGTATTGCTTCTGCGGAATGCAAACGAAATCGAGTGCCTGCAAGTCCCCTGCGGAGTCTAAATCACCGGATGAATGCACCATGCTGGAGACCTGACGCGGGTGAGTGTGTGCGCGGAGCGTAAGAACTTGCGTGTGGCGGGGAAACGAGCTGCGTTCACTCCCCTTTGGATCCGACCGGGAGGGGGGCGAAGAGGAACCCTGGGCCCGCCCTGCCCCCGACTGCCCCGCCCCGGGCTCCCTCGACCACTGAGTCCCAGCCCCTCTGAGCACAGACAGGAGGCTCAGGTGCGATCCCGCTGCGTGGGGCGGGGCAGGGGTCTCCGGGTAGGACTCTGAGTGGGAAGTGGCCAGGAGGAGGAGGAGTCAAGGGGCCACCCACCCCGTCACGCGCCAGCCCGAGGTTCGGGAGCTGGGCTGCCGTCCTTTCTGCACCGGCAGCCGGAGCCCCAGGGCCCTCGCCCTGTGGGAGGACCTCCACGGCCCCAGGACTGTGCCAGAGGGGCCGGGCAGGCAGTGCCAACCCAACAGCACAGCAGTCAGACGGAAAAAGTGCAAAAATGTGCTATAAAAAGAGCTCATTTTTTTTTCCATCTGCTGAAACAAAATCATTCATTTTTATTGCACCAGGAAATCTATATCAAGTAGTAGGTTAAGATCTTTTTTTAAAAGTAAGAATTTCCTGTGCTCGCAGACCCCACACCAAATGCCTGGCAGCCAACTCTCCTGCAGAGCGAACTGGGCACGCCCCACCGGCCCACAGGCGGTGGTGCGTGTGTTCTCGGATTAACCGTGCAACACCCCAGAGCCTCGCTTCTGTGCTTGGACTGCGGTAACGCGGGGCAGCCGCGCATCGGTTAAACCTCGGCCGCAGGTCAGGGAGCGGCCTCTGCACCGCAGCTCCGCAGCTCACCTCAAGCCCTCAACCTCTTTGAGGCTGGCTTCTTCGACATAAAAGGGGGGACTTCGTATTGCGCCGTTCTAAACTTTACCACGGCGACCCGCCCAGGGGCCTGGCATGCAGCGGGTCTCAACGGCCGCGCAGGAGAACGGTCAGATCACAGGACGGGCGACCCCATGGGGCGTCCGTGCTCCGGGGGCATCGGAAGGCCTTGAGGGTGTGAAACCAGCACCCTGAGTTTAGGGCACCTAAGAGGCAAACCCGGGGCCCGCGCTCCCCTGGCCTGCGGGGCTCCCCATGGGCCAACCCAGGCCGCCCAGCCCCAGGGTGGGCGCAACGATCCCACGCAGGTGAGGGACTGCCATCCCTTCGGAAACAAGGCGCGTCTGAGATGCATCTGCAGGGACAGGGAGAAACGCATCACGTGCCCATGTGCACTCTGACTGTCCCCCCCCCAACACCCGCTCCCCCCTCTCTCCAGGACCTCCTGTGCCCTCCTGCCTCCCGCTACAGCCCACCTCTCGCCCGGGCGCCCCCCTCTTGCTTCAAACCTCATCGCCCAGGGAGTGTGTCTCAGAAGGGGGGGCCGTGGTCCCTCCCAAAGGCTCCACGGGCCTCAGGCTGAGACACATCCTGACAGCCGTGCTGTGGGGCCACGCCTACCCGAGGACGGCTTTTTGTGGCCTGCATGGCACTACTGGCAGTCTGCGGGATGGGCCAGCACTCAGGCGTCGCGAGGCTCCACAGCTTCCCCCGCAAAAAGAAAAAGCCCCAGCGACGCAGGCGCATGTTCAGCGCAGCCGCGGTCGCCCACGGGCCGTGTCTCCGGCTGGGCCAGGCCCGGCCCCGCGCACAGTGGGTCTGCGGACCCCGAGGCCCAGCAGTCTCGGACGGGCACTCTGGTGTTGCGAGCTGGATAGGCGGGCTTTCCAGGGGCCCACGGCACGTTCAGTCTGACTCTTCTCTAGCTCATCAGTGAAACAGAGACGAAATGTCGAGTCCTCGCGAGGATTCCTAGACCTGGGAGTGCCTGCTCTCCCAGGTGACAGCTGGGTGGCCCTGCCCTCTCCTCCTGGGCCTGCTCCCCAGGGCCTCCCGAGGCTGGGGCTCCAGAGCTGTGCCCCCCTGCACTCCCAGGGGCTGCTTCCCTGCGGGGAAGGGGCGAGCACGCCTAGGCTTCCAGGCGGGGACTGGCGGGCACCGGTGGACGGGGGACAGCCCTCGGTGGCTGGCCGCTGGCCGGGGAGCGCCAGCACCGCACGGAGCTTGTGCTCCCCCTCGGCCGCACGGTCAGCCCTCTGCTGACAGTGCTTCCCCCTCCGCGGCCGCTGCAGAGGGAACTCATGTGTGTCCTCACCAGGAACGGGCCGAAGCCCCGCTTCCCGGGGACTGGGACACAGGCGACATGGCAGCGTCCCCGCGCACTCCGGGTCTTGGCGCGCTCCACAGCGCCACCCAGCGGTCAGCCTGAGATGTGCATGTGCTCAAGGGGTCCCTCCTTGCACCAGCCCCTGGCCCTGGGCGGCCCCTCCAAGGAGGGGGTCTCCGGGCCCCCCCCCACTCATGCCCACAGGCCCAGGACCCGCGGGTGTGCCGCTCCCGTCCTCAGCGAGGGTGCCGTCCCCTCTCCCCTGCCTGGAGCCTCTGCCCTCGCCCCAGACCAGCGTCTGCACGGCACTGAGCACTCTGCTCCCAGAACACACAGGCTGCGGGGTGACCGTGGATGCTTCTCACGGAGCGAAACGGACCCACATGCGCTCCAAGGAGCAAGGGGGTCTGGAGCAACCACCCCCTCTGAGCTCTGACGCCCCCCGGGGGCGCCGAGAGGAAAAGGAGCCCCCCCCCCAGGGCAGGGGAGGGTGGACCCGAATGCCAGAGCCTCCGTCTCCCCAGGAAGAGGGGTCGGCCGTACCGTGGCCAGGGCGGGGCCAGAGGCGGCGACGACTTTCTGGACGTTCTTCAGGACGTCCTCGGGACGCAGCCTCTCGAAACTGGCCGGCACACCCGCCTCTCTCTCTTTCGACTCCGGTCTGGGCGGCCTGCTGCCCTCCACCGCCCTCAGGAAGTCCAGGTAGTTGACGCAGTTGTTCTGCCAGCTGATGCCCCAACTTGTCCCCAAAGGAAAAAAAAAAGGAATATATTAAAAAAAACTCATCACCCACTCCTTCCACAAACACTCACTGAGCGCAGAGCGGGGCGGGGAGTGTGACCCACGGGAAGACGCCGCTCCCCCGCCTGTGGGGGCCTGCGTGCCGTCAGCCGAAGCTGTGGGCAGGGGCAGGGGGCGGGGGAAGGGTCCTGAGCCCTGAGACAGCAGGGTGCTGCGGGCTGGCGAGGCCGAAGACCATCCTGGCTAAAGCTCCGAGACCTGAGGCTGGCCAGCGGGGCTCCCGGGGTGGAGAGCAGAAGATGGGGAGGGGCCCAGCGAAGGGGCCAGTCCGTGCGGGGCGACGTGACCCTGGCAGAGCCGTATCACGGGCAGGACCGTGGAGGGGTGGGGCCGGGGGCTGTGCTCTGAGACCTGAGCTGGTGAGGGCCCGCCCCGAGGAGCAGCAGGGGCGCCCGGGGAGAAAGAAACCCGCCTGAGACGGCAGGCAGGGAGGGAGGGAGGGACTGAGCGAATGGAACATGCCATCGTTCCTTCTCAAGAATGGCCATGCCGGACCGTCACGCTGAAAGCACGGAAAGACGTTTTTACAACACTGATTTAGCTTGGTATTTTCTGAAATAGAAATTCTGGGTGTGTGCATGCGTCCATAGGACAACCGTGCAGAAACGGAGGCCCCTTTACAAGTTTCCAAGCGTGGTGAAAGTCCCAAGGTTTCATGAGAGCGGAAAGCAAGTTTATTAAAGATGTAAAATAGCGCCCTGGCTGGCGTAGCTCAGTGGATTGAGCACAGGCTGCGAACCAAAGCATCGCAGGTTTGATTCCCAGTCAGGGCACATGCCTGGGTTGTAGGCTGTGGCCCCCAGCAACTGCACATGGATGTTTCTCTCTCTCTTTCTCCTTCCCTTCCCTCTCTGAAAATAAACAAATAAAATCTTTAAAAAATGTATTTTTAAAAAAGATGTAAAATAATTCAAAATAAAGTTCAACGGCACTCAAAGCTCACGGCTCTGTGACTGGGGTCCGCTGAGCACCCCCGGCACTTTCACCCCCGAACTGCGTTTCAGCAGGGCGGGTGCGTCCGAGAAGAAGGGCTGGGAGCCCCGGTGAGCGGGACAGAGGTGTGCCGGCGGCGACCCCGCTGTCGGCTCCCACAGAACAGGCGCCGAGAGGGAGACGAGGGCCGCCCTCCCCGCCCGCCGCTGCAGGCTGCCTCCCCGGCCAGGCCCGGCCCGCGGCGCTGGCTCCCAGGCGGGACTCGGAGCGGGGGCCAGTCAGCTCTCTGTTTCATCGGCAGGATGAACTGCCAACGCGGCGTTAAAATTTAGTAATAAAATCAAATGCATATGCTAATCTCCTCAGTGTTCCTTAGAAAAGTCTATTTTGGATCTAGGAGAGAATAATCTACATGTAATTACGAACGGCGGACGTGTTTGTCACCGAGGGTCTGGGAGCGGGAACGAGTGGCCGGGCGAGGGGTCCTCACGGAGGTTCCAGCGTGCAAGGTGCCCACCGCCCCGTGGACGGCGGGCCACGGAAACCCCGGGGTCCTGCCACCGCAGTTTGTGAAGGTGCCAAGGCCAACTATGTTTTAAAAGACTCTCTTACGATCATTTAGTTCATTATTTATCTGGTGCTGTTTTCCCATGATTTATTCATCAAATGCATAGGAGTTCGTGTTCAGCTGGAAACAGACTTCGTGACAGGAGCCCCCGCTGAAGGAAGAAGAGAACACACAGGCACTTGAAGACGGAACGGGCACACACACACATGCACACACACACGCACACACGCACGCGCACGCGCACACGCACACACACGTGCGCCAGCATGGGGTTTCTCACCGCTTGAGCACAAGGAGGGGCGTCTTCAAAATTTTAAGGGAGAACAATTTTCTCCCTAGGATTCTATGCTCAGACAAGCTATCAAGTGGTGCAAAAAAAGAATAAAGCATTTTCAGACAAAGGAGAACTCAGAATACTTACTTCCTCTCCACCCTTTCTTGGGAAATTACTCCAGGAGGCACTCCGGCAAAGCAAGAACGTAAACTAAGGAATGAAGAGGCGTGCAGGGAAGGGCGGGAACCGGGGACCCCGGCCGGGAGAACAGTGGGGCCGCGGACCCAGGACGGGAGCGCGGGGCCAGGCCCGAGGGCGGAGGGCCCGGGGAAGGAGTGATTAGCCGAACTGTTGGTGTTCGCTGACCAGTCTGGACAAAATGCCTGCTAACTTCGACTTGACGTGACCGAACTAGAACGAGTCTCTGCCTCCCTGGATTGCGACCCCCCCTCAGCCTGAGCCGTCACTGGACCGTGGACGAGCCCCTGTGCAAGGGCCCTGCGTGAGACTCTGACCGCAAGGACAGCCGTTTCCTGCCACAGCAGTCTGATCACAGGACCCACTCACTTCATCCCCCCATTCCCAGTCCTTCCTCCCCTCTTCCCTGGAGAAGCCCTCGGCGGCCTAAACGCTGAGATGCTCTCAGACTGCAGGGTCAGAGCGCCCTCCCACTGCAACCGCCTCCCCTCCCCCACCCCGGCAGCCCTCCCCTCCCCATCGCGGTGGTCTTTCCAAACACCGTCTCTCTCTACTAAGTCTGGCTTTGCCCGTATTCAACCAGGTGAGTTACAGGCAAATAATGCAAGAAAAACAAGCAGGAAATTAAACGCTCCTGGAAACGCACAGCCTATCAATACAATCCTAGTGTCAACACAGAGCAAACTTCGTAACAACGGGTTACAATGCAAACAGCTGCAAAACGGAGGTTCCACTGCCAGAGGAGTTCCTCGGGGAACCCCCCCGCCCAACACAGACGGGACAGAACCAAGGGGACGGGTGGGCGGAGGTGGGCGGCCACGGCGAGATTCAGCACGGCCCAGCTCTCCCCAAACCGACCTAAGACCTCCCACTCGGCCCGTGAGGCCCAGGTCAGGCATGACACGTGTTTTGAGATGACTGGACAGGGAATTTAAATGGACTCTGATCAACGTGTGAAGAGCCGTCACGGAAAGTGCAGACTCATGCGGGGACAGGGGCACGATGCATGCAGAGAGTGCCCACGCAGAGGGCGCGTCACGAGGGGACGCCGGCTGCAAGAGCGCCTCTGACGGGCTCACCCGCCGATGGGACACGGCTGGGGGAAAAAAAATCACTGAGGTTAAAGGGTGGCAATAGAAACTTCCCAAACTGAAATTCAAAGAGAAAAACAAATTAAAAAAGAAAAAAGAACAGAATTTCCAAAAACTGTCGGACACCTTCACAAAGGGCTCCGTCTTGGTGCTCAGAGGACGCCAAGAAGGACGAACCCCCAAAACTCCACACCCAGGCACACGGCATGTGAACTGCACAGAACTGAAGACGCGGAGAAACCCTTGAGAGGAGCCGGAGGGAGGGAAAACCTCGTCTACAGAGGAACAAAGACAAGAACTACACGGTACGTGTCAGAAATCATGCGAGCAAGAAGAGTGGACTGAAATATTTGAAGTGTCGGAAGAAAAAAAACACCCACCAACCTAGAATCCTGCATCCAGTGAAGCTACCCTTTAGACGTGAAGAAGAAATAAAGACTATCTCAGGAAAACAAAGCCTGCAGGAACTCACCCCTGGCTGCCCTGGCCAGGTAGCTCAGTAGGTTTCGGCATCATCCCAATACGCCAAGGCTGCAGGTTCGATCCCCAGTCGGGGCACTTACAAGAAGCGGCGAATGAAGGCATAAATAAGGGCAACGACAAACCGGCATCTGTCTCCCCCCCCGGCCCCCCCGGGAGGAAATGCCAACAACAGACCGTCTCCAGAGAGGAGACAAGTCACGCAGGTCGGGCGCCCAGACCCACGCAGAGGGAGGGACAGCGTCCGGGAAGGGACGAGGGAAGGCAAGGCGACACCTCCCGCTCTCTAACGCGCAGCCGGTCTACCCGCTCCTTGTTGCTGGTAACGACCACCCTGTTCGTTCGGGGGACCGTGGCGGGGACCTCGGCTGGCAGGGGAGCGCCCTGCTGGCGAACGGCCGCAGAGCCGGCGGGGCAGGAGGCGGGGTGTGGGGCGCGCTGCCCACGCATGAAGCAGCGCCCTGTTCTTCGAGACTGGACTCGGGCCACTCGTCCATGCACACTGCAAACTTCAGGGCAACCACGAAAAGAAAAATATTTAACAGGCGGGCGAGTTAGGGGTTCCGTTACTGGTAACAATCATGTGGGAACTGAACAAGCAGAAGAAGTAAGACTAACGTTAGCCCCGGGGAAAACTAATGCTGCATAAAGACGGAGAAGCAATCGGCTTGTCCCAACACTGCAAGCCCCGGACACTGACCTGCCCCACCCGGCGGTGTGGGGAGGACGGCGTCCATAGGGACAGACGGGTCTGCGTGTTTCTGCGGGGTGGGGGGGCTGTGGGGTGGGGGGCCGGTGGCACGTGGTGTGTGGAGAGGAGTTCCACCCGCACCTTCCCGGTTGGAAGCCAACAGGCGCAGCCCGACCGTGAGAATCCCAGAAGGAGCCACAGAACCTGTGTCACGTAGGAACAGGAACTTGAGCACCCGAAGGTGTCACTAAAGCCCCGGAAGCCGCTGACTCTGGAGAGGGGAGGGGAGGCCGGCGACTGCGTGGGGTGATCTGACGCCCACCGAGGTGCGTGCAGAGCTTGGGCAGAACGAAGCCCGAAGTTAAAAAATGAGGGTTACGGGGCCAAGACCCCTCGGGAATCCTGACGCGCTCACGTGGCGTTTCCTCCCTGCTCTGGGTCGGCGCAGGCCCACGGTAACGCAGCCCGGCTGGCGGGGGCACGAGTCCACGCGCAGGGGCAGAGGAGAGCAAGCGAGGGCCATGCCACGCTCATCTTTTGGTCTGGGGGGAACACGGTCAGGGACGCCGCCGAGGGTGCCGACCTGCCCAGAAGCTCGGCCAGCTCCTCGTCACCGAGGGGACAGCCGCCCTCCTGCAGCGCCCTCTGCAGCTGGCACGCGGACACGGAGCTGCTTCCGGAGTCGCCCAGTTTGGCCAGCGCCTTCCGGACGTCTTCGTAATGGTCCTTCAGCTTGTCCCTGGAGGAGAGCACACGTTAGACCAGGTAACGCCGGGAAAACAGATCGTCTCTTTGAAGCAAGAGTTTCTGGATCATGCTAACGTGACGGCCGGATGGTTCCTCTAAGAACCGACGTTGCAGACGTTTTGTGGCCTTGGTGTGACATTCACGTGAAAAGGGGGTCTGGAAGGAACTGTACGTCTGCATTATCACCATTTTATTGTTGCCATCCTTAGCAAAGCTGCACTAAAGGAATCACAACCTTGTCTTTTTGCCGGAATTGGCACTCTGAGAATGGGACTGAGAGTGAAACACAGTGGTACCACAGAGGCGATACTCTCTCCGGGAAGGCTGGCTGAGCCCCTGTCACGAGCCAGGAACCGCTGTGGGCACCGGGGCACACCCCGTGACTCCGCCGGGCCCCACGGGGGTTCTGTTCCAGCAGGCGGGGCCGACCGCACACAGGAGGTCTCGGGGCCCGGCGTGGGGGGAGTGGGTGAGCAGAGCGCGGGGGCCCGTTTCTGGCACCCGTTTCTGGGACCTGCAGCGGTGAACGAGTATCACGGTGCCGTAACTTCGCGCCTGAAAATGACGTCTGCACCGAGGGAGGGGGTGCCCCCCCGGGCTGGCTCCGGGTCCCAGTCCCAGGATGCTGACTCACCAGGCTGACGTCACCTTCCCAGCACTCAGTGGCAGTGGCAGGAGCTCGACCCGCCCCTGCTGCGGCTTGGCAAAGTGGCCCATGAAGTTGAAGTAGTCCTCCGAGTAGGGCCGGTGGGCGTCTGCGGAGTAGTCGATGCCCAGCTTCTGCAAGAACTCCTGGTGGGTTAGCTGCCCCTTCCCCTCGGGGTCGTAGCTGTAAAGACAAGCAAACGGAACCGTCATCAGGAGCTGCCGAGGTCAGTGCTGCAGGCGCGCCTGTGTCTGCGAGCGGCTCCGGAGTTCCCCACCACCCGGCCTGCTCTGCGGACCAGCGGTGCCGGCTCACGGCGGCGGGGGGGGGCAGACACGCAGCCCCTCGGGCCTCGAGCCAGACCCGAGCCGGGTCCGCGTTCACCGAGGTCCCCAGGCAACTCACAGGCACACTGAAGTCCGAAACCCACTGCTCAAGTGCACAGAGGGCTCACCTCTGGCCAGGGGGCCCCAGCCTACCCCACCAGACAGCAGCCGAACCCGCCCACCTGCCATCCTGAGAGAGACACCACCGTGACAACAGAGAATCAGAACCAACCCTTCCATTCAGGCAACGGTTTCTCACTGAGCACCTCCACGCAGCGGGACGCCGCTAGGGCTCAGGAGAAAACCCCTCGGACACACGTCCCATCCGAAAACTGGACAGCGGGTGCCGCTGGATCTGAACGCCCCGTCTCCTCTGACGAGGTGCCAGCGACCCACGGCCGGGGGGAGGGGAACAAGGCAGGGATTCTGCCGCGTGCCTTTTGCGTCGTTTCCTATTAGTGACATTTCCTGAATTATGATTCACTTAAAAAGGTGTAATGGAGGGTTTTTATCTCCCAACATTATACAAATAGAGTAAAATTACTCCAATAAAAAAAATTTTAGGGCAAATCGCCAATTTCCTTTAAGGAGAAAAGCGTTTATTTCAACAGTGGGAGACCTTGGCCCTCATCCGACGGGGACGATGGCACGTGCAGGGGCGACTGTTCCCCGACGAGCCCAGAGCCGCGAGGACCGAGGCCGTGTTTGCCAACGTCGCGGGCCGGGCTCTCGGGCAGGCTGCTGGGGGGGCGGGGGGCGCGGCTGACTGCACGGGGTGTGGCACCCCTCGTGAAGCGGCACCGTCCACGCACGTCTGCCGAGCTCATGAACAGGACGGTGCAGGCTCCTAAGGAGGGACCTGGCTATCGCCAGCAACGCGCGGACCTGCCGCTGCCGTCGCCAGGGAAGGCCGGCTGCGTGCCCACCACTGGAACACCGCCCCTAAGGTGAATAGCAGGGGGCTGCCTCGGCGGGCACGCCCTCGCCCGTCCTCACGCGCTCCTCTGTGCGGCGTTTCTGAGAACCAACTTGCCTGCGGAGGTCGAACGTCCGTGCCAGGAAGCAACGTGCACAAAGCCCGGGACCCGCAGACACTTGTGTCTGCACGTGGCGGCGGCCGCTGCCCGCTCAGATTTCCCTGTTGCCGAACGCCGGGTGAGCCAGGCCCTGGAACCAGGGTCTCGGGGTGCGCTCGGCCCGACTCCCCTCTCTCTCCCTGAGCCACTGCCTGCCCCAGGGGCCAGCCGTCCTCCTTCCCCGTGGCCACCCCGGGAGCCATTGCGGCCTCACTCCGCCCGACAGCTCCCCTCTCTGCCTGGCCCCCGGCCCGGCGCTCCCGCGCTCACCCTCCCTGTTCCGCTGCCCCGCGCCCTCCTCTGGCGTTTGCCACAGTGGGCGCCGCACCCAGGGGCTCGGGTGGGTGCCACCCCCTGAGCACCTGCACCACCAGTCATCTCTGCATCGTCCGAAAGGCCCACCCGGGGGGAGGCCCAGGCATTCGCCCGCTGGACCCCGATCCTCCGCCCACTCAGACAGACCTGCCTTTCAAGCCTACGGAGACAGAAAACGGACGGGGAGCCGACACTGGGCCTGTGTCAGAGCTGATCCGGGCGGGGGGGGGGGGGACAAACAAACCAAGGAATGTGTAAGAATTCCACGTTGCTTTTCTAAATCAGACGCAACACGGCCCGCCCAGTTCTGGACTTGGCCCACCCTGCAACCTCGCACTTTGAAAAGATGCAAAGCTGAAAAACTGCGCCAGCCTGTCCCCAGAGCACGCTCAGTTGCGTACAGTTCCTGGCACTAGGGCGGCCACCGGCCGACGTGTGGGGGGGCGGGAGGGGATTCGGAGAGGCCCCTGGCACTCACGGGCAGACATCCACCCCCCCGGGGAATGATGCAACGGCCCGGCTCAAAACGCCCACGTCTGAAATGCATCTGCAGACACGTAACCAGCACTGGACGCTATCTTCAGTTCAGGAGACCCTCGGGAAGGGGCTCCGAGTTGTCGGACGTCCGCTCATTTCCTTCCAAAGAATCACGCGTCCATGACGCCGCCGTCGGACACCGGCCCCCACCTCCAAGCCGTGGGGAGAGACCGCTTTTCCACGGGGCTGTGGGGGAGGGGCATCTTCGGGGAGCGGCTTCGCGCTTGCAAACAGGCGCAGTCCAGGCCCGGACGCCCGCTCCTCGGCCTCGCGCCCCGCCCCGCCAGCCGAAGAACGGCGGGGGCCCTGCTCCCCCTCGTTCCTGACCAGCCCGCCCCCCAGGGCTGCTCTCCCTGGGGAGCAGGAACAAGGGCCCCGGGGCTCGGGACAGACACGCGGAGAGAAAACCGCCCCTGGCTGCAGCCGGCCCCCAGGTGGTGCCGGGAGGCTGCCGCCGAGGCCGCAGCAGGCCGCGCAGGACCGACCGCGGGGCGGGAAGAGAGCCAGGCTCCGGGGGCCGCTTACCGCATCCAGAGCTTTTCGAATTCCCGCGGCGTGAGGGGGATGTCAAAGCCGAACAGCACGTTCTTTATGTCCCGCGGGCGGACGATGGCGGCGCCCTCGCTGTCCCTTTCCGTGAAATTCTGCAACAGGAGGGGGGGCGTTTGGTGGCCCGTAGAACGGTTCACGGCAGCACAAAGGGCTTTCCCATGTCACTACCTGGGACCGTCGAACCCCCGCCCCCCTGCCCCGCCCACCTGCTGAACGACCTTGCATCTGAGTGCCAGGGGCCTCCCCACTGCTCTACCCAAGGTGACAGAGCAGACACGGACAGGTATTCTGTCCCGGGGGGGTGTGTTTCTGGGTAACGCGCGGTCTCAGGTGTGTGGCCTGCGTGCTTCTCCTGACAAGGTGGGATCCAAGCTACGAGAAATAATGCTCCCCCCACCTGCCCCGAACCTGGAGGTCACCACCTCGGCGCTGACAAGGGTGCGACCCTTTGGCTGTGAGAGGGGGAACGAGGGGCCTGAGACCCCAGCTGTCGTGACGAGATGGCGTGGGGCCACTTTAATGTCCCGGAGGGGTGCAAAGGTGCCTGGAGGTCTGTCGGACGCTTCAGAGGACCCCAGACGAGGGGGGGGCAGGTAACGCGCTAGGGATGCTCAGCGCTGCCTCCAACGTTCTCACGACAGCACCGTGCGGTAGGCGCACGGAGGTGCCAGGTCCTCGGCGAGAGTGCCCTCCCTCCGAGACCGGGGACGGGGTGCGCACCCCCCCGCCACCCCCCCCCACCCCGAGTCCCTGTGTGGGAGCTCCGAGCAGTGGAGTGGGAAGGGGGGGGGGTGAAAGGAGCAGCGCTGGGACGGGGGGAAGGACCGCTGTCACACTCACAGCTGAGCTGTCTGCACAGAAATAGGAACCCCCACACACACAGCATTACAGTAAGAGAATTTAGCAAGACATCTGGATTCCGCGTCTGTAGGCAAAATCTTGCACATTTCACGTATCCGACACAGAAAATGAATCTTTGAAGATGGCATTAATAAATAGCATCAAAACCAGAAAGTCCTGGGGATGAACCTTACAAACGCTCGCAGGACTCGCGCACGGGAAGATCTGAAACGTCACCGGAAGGCGGGGCGTGGAGGCCAGCACCCGCGGAGACGCGCGGCGCTCGCGAGCTGGGGCTCCGGGCGCCAGGGATGCGGCTTCTCCGCGGCCAGCCCGAGGGGCTGTCCCTGTTTTCTGCTGCGGAGCCTGACGAGCCGGTTCAAAGACTCTGGAGGACAGGGAGGGGGACCCGCCTGCCAGCCGGCCACGAGGTGTCACCAACGCTGCACTCAGTGCCGGTGCCAGGACAGACGGACGGACTGACAGACCAGCACGTCGCCACAGCCCGGGCGCAGCTGCAGCCTGGTGTGGGTGTGGGTGCGGGCGCAGGCGCGGGCAGGCAGACTCTACAGTGAGCAGCGCCAGGGTCTCCACGTGGGAGGATCTGCGGGGGCCCGGCCTCGGCACGCACATGGGCACCGGTGCCGGCCTCAGGCCCGGAAGGCGGAGGGTGAGACGCTAAGCTAAACTCCCAGGAGGGAAGGCGGAGTATCGTCACAACTTCTCCCACGAGACCTTCCAGTAAATGCTGACGGGTTGGACTACATTGAAGAGAACCCCCGTTTCGAAAGATATCACGTGAAAAGGGTGCGGACAGGACAGAACGGGAAGACACTGGCGTCGCCTGTCTCTGACCACAGACGAGTAGCCCAACCCCAGCCGGAGCTCCAACGGGCCGACGAGAGGCCAGCCGGCCGGCACCCGCGCAGGGACTGGGCAGGGCAGAGGCCGGACTTCCCGGGCGGGATGACGCCTGGCTGGCGGGCGGAGGACGAAAAGCTGCCCAATGGCCTGGCCCTTCATGGGCAAGGTGGCCGACCCCGCCCGAGACACCGGCAATGTCCCATCCCTTCACCCGGACGGCGGTTCCACGGTGGGATGCAGTTCGCAATGCGCTTGAACTTAAAATGCATCCACGTTGTCATTACATACACCACAGCACATGCCGTGCACAGATTCTACACACGCACAGTAACACACATGTGTTACTACTGTATTCCACTGTAGGGTCGAAACTTGAAAAACAATTAAGCTCAACAACATCAAGTCTGGAAGATTCCAAGGTCCCTTTAAAAACTTACGGCACCTTAAACGGGCTCATCACCACTCCATCGGCAGTTAACACTGGGTAAGACAGTCGTTTTTGTGTCATGTGTATCTTAGGCCCTGCGGCGCAGCTGTACCCAGACCGTGGCCACACTGCGCGCACGGCGCGCTCCTCCCAGACGCGCTTCCCAGGGTCCCGGCAACACAGGGCGAGCACTTCTCTCGAGTGCGTTCACGGCCGTGGGCAAGGACGTGTGGCAGCTTCTCCACTTCTCATCTAAGTTCCTAATCCATACCAAGCCCGAGAGAAAGCCAGGACTTTCGGTCGTGTAACTCCTGTAATTCCCTATTTTTCGAAACATCGATCGACCTTGAAGGGGAGGACTTGCTCTGACGAGCATTTTAAGACCACAGGGGTCACGAGGTCGGGCCGACAGCGCCGTGTGCCCACCTCGGTGACCGGGTCCTGGCAGCCGGACCGCCCCAGGGAGCCTGGGGCACTGGAAGAGGGTCCCCCCCTCCGAAGGAAGTGATCGCTCCTCACCTTAGATAAGTCCGGCCATCTGGTCTTCGCTTTGGTCACGAGGTACTGATGAGCCTGCTCGCAAGCCAGTTCTGAATCCGTGACCTTCTGTTTTGCTCTTGGAAAAAGGAAATAAACAAATCAATCGATAAGCAGATGTTTAAGTTGGATGGACTCAGCGCTCCCCCGCGGGGGTCCCCCGGCCCCGCTGCTCCAAAGGCCCCGTGCAAGTCCGTCGTGCCGCGTCTGCTCCGGCTCAGTTCTGAACACTCTGTCCCCGGCTGCACGCCGGGGCGTCCCCCGTTTGCACGAGCCCCGGGGCGTCTTCTCAGTTAAAGGCTGCCGGACTCTTCCTGCCGCTCACGTAACAGGCCGGGCTCGCTGGGTCTCACCGGGAAGACACGATGTGACGTGAAGTGTCTTCGGAGGAAAACCACTGAAAACGTTTATTTCTGGGGTGACACACCAGAGCGACGATGGGGGCGGAGGCCAGCCGTCTAGGAGCGACGGGCAGCGCCTTACAGAGTCCTGGGTGTCTGCTAGGGGTCAAGGGCTAGGTTTCCAGGAGGCCAGGCTGGCCCGTCCTGTTTACTGACTCCTGGGATGAGGGGCCTGGGCTGGCGGCCCGGCCACGGGGCGGCGCGGGGGAGGTCATGGCTGAAGGACAGGGGGGTGCCCCTGTGTGTGGGAGCCTGCCGACCTCCCCTCCCCCCACTTCTCTCCCTGCAGCTGCCTGGCTCCCAGCGGCACCGGTCCCTCCGGTTTGGGGACCGGAGCTGCTGCCCAGCCAGGCCTGCACCTGTGACATTTTCCCTGTGGAGGCCGAGCGCTCGGGACGGTCTGCCGGCAAGACCGACCACGGGTACGCGTCACCGGGCAGTTCCCCGAAAGGGGACCCCACTGTGCACGTGTCCCAAACCCACACGCTTGCTCACAGGCACCTGACCGAGGCCCCACACAGACCCTCACGTGACTGACTCTGCAGGGGACACAGGAAGACCAGGGAGGGGACAGAACACGGGCCCCAGTCGCCCAGCTGAGGGGACACAGGAAGGTGCGTCCCCACACCGTGGAGGACGAAGAGTGGGTGATCCTCAGGGCAGCGCTGCCGTGACGACGACCCCCTGCATGTGACCCGCGGGCCGGGAGCGCGGTGTGGGTTTCCGGGGTGATGACCGCCACGACCTGCAGGGTGGCCTCCAGGGAGGCACGCGGCACGCGGCGTCCTGCGTGGGCCCCGCGGTGCTGGCCCTGCCCGTCCCTGTGCAGGGGGAGGCCCAGGCCCAGCGAGGCTGCAGCAGTGCCGGAGCCCTGGCTTCCCCCTTGGTGTCCGGGCGCCCAGACATCTTTCCTCACTGCCGTGTCCCTTTTTATCAGAATGACAAGCCTGGTGTCCACTTGAATGTCGTTCCTCACAGGAAAAGACCCAGGGAGCCTGGCGCTCCGTGGAGAGCAGGGCCACCTTCGGAGTGTCCCGGGCTGAGGACACTCCCTCCACTCCTCGCGAGGGTCTAGGTGCACATGCACAGCCCTACCTGGGGCGCACAGCCCTGGCTGGGGCCAGGACCCAGAGGAGACGGCCCGCAGCTCCCCGACCCGGACGGCTCTCCTGGGACGGCCCCTGACGTCGGACATTTCCAAAGCAGATGGGCAGCCCGGGCGCAGCAGTGAGAACCAACCAACCCAGCAGAACAGCCGCACTTCGCCGGCCTCACTGTGCAGCGCCTGCCAAGAAGTTCCGCTGCTCTCCGACGGCCACGCCCCACCCACTCCTCGTACTGCTGGGTGGTGGGCAGGGCCGGCACCCAGGGTCACTGAGCCCACGGTGGCCGTCAGTGGTTACCCCAGAGGCCCACGCTGTGCTGTTGGGCTGTGTGCCGCCCAGAGAGGGTCTCGTGCAGAGCAGCTTTTCTTTGATGAACGACATCGACCTTGACCTCCGTAGCTTGGCCAGCACAAAGTCTTGCATCTTCTTAGTTCACGGGATGCAAAGGACCGGCTGGGAGGAGGTGGGGTCTTCTCCCATCCCCATGTTCCTGCTGAGATGGACCTTCCTCTCCCAGCGGACGCTGGCATGCGGGCGCCCGGGGAAACCACGCTGGACCGCGGCTCTCCTCCCTGAGCCGACCGGGCTCTGGGTCCACCAGCTGCTTCTAGGCTGCCGAGTCCAGGGACGTCGCCGACTTTTCTGTGACATGGGCCCTTGAACGGCCCCTCCCCTCCCCACTGCCCCCCAATGCTGCTCCTTAAATGCCCCCAGGGGCTGGAACCCCAGCCTGGGCCCAGCCTCAGTCGGCAGCCTTTTCCCCACGACTGGCTCCCCCCAACCCCGGGCCTGCCCTCTCCTTCCCCCCGAAGTTTATCTGCTCATCCGAGGGGCCACCCCTTGTCCTGGTGTCCCCGCCACCTGGGCGCTGCCGACCCAGCCCTCTGGCCACAGGGCCGGTGCCCTCACCTCTTTTTCCATTCCATGTCTCCCAACTGCCTACCGGACGGCACAGAACCATGGAACCTCCAGGGCAAGGGCCCAGAGGTCAGCCGGCCTGACCCTCCTCACTGCTTCCCACTAGGGTCTGGGGCGGGACCACGCACAGTGCGTTCTCACCACGACGACGGCCTAGGGCTGCAGGGCCCGGGGGGGGGGTGGGGGGGCACGTCCCCGGCCTCAGCCCTTTGGCTCCCGCTAAGTCCTGCCTGCACCCGGGGGACGCCCCGGGGACTCCCGAGGACTCTCCCGGAGACCCCGGGCGGCGCTCCACCCCCACCAAGTCCGCCCGTGGGTCCCAGCCGCCCGCACCGACCCTGTCTGCGTTGCAGGCCGCAGGCTCGGTCGCCTCCTCGGTGGTTCCCCATCCAGGTCTCCCACTGTATCGACTTGTCTCCTCTGGAGAGTCCGGAGGCCCTGCTCCGGCTCTTCCGGAAGGTACCCCCTCCCTGTGCCTGGACCCACGGGTCCTGGCCTGGGACCCGGACTTCCCGTCGGCCGGGCCCTCCGTCATGGACACAGGCAAACCCAGGTTAGGTGCCGCCCTGGGTCCTCCTGGCATGACGACCGGCGACATGGGCGTGGACGGAGCCCCCACGAGACAATGGGCGAATCAGGTGACTTCAGAGACCGAACGTGACAGAGACCGGCGGGCGGGAGGGGGCTCCCCCGCTCAGGAGGCCGGCGGCGGTGGCTCTCGGAGGCGGGAGGCCCAGAGGCGCTGCTGGTCCCAGCGCAGCAGGAGTGGACATGCTTCGTCCTCTCCCGCCCCCGAGGACAACTAGAGTCCAGAAGGACATGACACCTGGCCCCCTGAGAACACTAAGAGGTAAACCCTGGGGGGGCTGATGGACAGGGCAGGCCGGGGCTGGAAGAACGGCCGGCGCAGCGAGGGGAGCTCCACGGGCTTCTCTGCTCCCGCGTTCCCGGCCGCGGGTCGAGGGACGCGCTCATCTGGGCCCGTGCCTTGGGGGGGGGGCAGGGCAGCCCCGAAAGGAATGTGGGGGTTCCCACCTGTCATCTCCTCTTGTCCGCCCCGCCCGCGCCGAGGCCAGGCCGGTTAGAAAACCTCAGTTCTGAGGTGGTGACGGGTGAGGGGGCCAGTCCGGCACCCCCAGCCGAAACTCCGCTCTCCCCGGGAGGAGGCAGGAAGGGCAGCGACTCAGGGAGTGCGGGAGGGGCTGCGTCTACGCTGCCCTGGAAGGGGCAGCCCTGTCGTGGGAAGCCCACAGCAGCACAGACAGGCTGAAGCCTACAAGTTTCCAGAAGGAAGACCAGAAAGGCGGGGCGGGGGCTCCTGGGGGCTGGGGAGCACGGGGAGAAAGGAAAGAGAGGGGTGCTCTGGGAAAAGGGACGCCCACGTCTGTGCAGGAAGTTCCAGGCTCACCGCCGACATGCATACATGCGCGGAGTGACCCAGAGCGGCCGAGCAAAGCGGGGGACGCGTCTGCTGCGCAGTCAGGGCTGGCCCCTGGGTGCTGCACCCGGGGGCTGGCCCGGCGGGGCTGCAGCGGCTCTGAAAACCACGCCAACCCCGAAACCGCAGGTGGCAGGCCAGCCAGAGCTTGTGATCCGAAACTACTGGGTTGATCGCTTGCTTTAAAAAAAAAAAAAAGAACCCACACACCACTGAGGATTTTAACAGGACCAGAGGGTCGTAATGCAACATTAAACAGATCCACGATACACAATCCAAAATTACTCAATGTACAAAAAACAGAGAAAAACCCACAATTTCCAAGGTGAGACAGCACAGTGCCACTGCCTTGGTTCGCGCCCTAAAACCTCTCCTGCTGCCCACAGCAGATGGACCCCCCCTCAGCCCGGCACTCTGGCCCCTTTGCAGCAGCCCCCCTACCCCTGTCTCCCCCCCGTGCCCCCCGCACCTCCACTCTGTACATGCACCCTCTCCCGTTTCCGGATCGTGTCTGACACCCCCACACTGCCCTGGCCTTGAACCGCCGCCCCGGAAGCCCGTCCCCAGAAAACCCCCCTCACCCCTCAGGACATGATGCGAACGTCCCCCTTTTCCCACGGGCCTCCCTGCGGTGCCTCCGGGGGGTCAGAGTGCGCCCACCCCCCAGTCCATGGCGCGCCCCTTGAGGGAGGGTCACCGTCCTCTCCGAGCCCTGAGCCCCGCGTCCCAGCAGCAGCGGCTGGCACAGACTCGGCCCCCATAACCACCTGACGGAGGAACGAAGAGACACGGACAGGGAGGCCGCGCCGTTTGAACAGGAAGACTGCGCGCCGTGTGCTTGGAGCATCCCGCGCTCATCCCACGCACGTTCCCCGGAGGACTCCTCTGAAGGACATCTCCTGTGCCGTGCCAGCGCTGAGCGACCCAGTCTCACTCGAGAGCTTCTGGGAACTGAGCAGTGGGAAGCAGGTGCCGGCTGCCGCGCCACGTGACCCGCGCCCTCGGAAGGAGCCGCAGTGGCTCTCCATCCTGTGCTCGCTCCGTGAAGCGGAGACAACACAAGCCCCGCAGGCTCGGGCGGGGAACTCCACGTGTGCGGTCGGGGGGCCTGCTGCAGTCCAGCCAGCTGTCAAACGGCCCTGGGGGGGACAGTCTGCGGCCCCTGGGCCTGCCAGCGCCTCAAGGGCAGACCGCCACCGGACGCCACCAGGCCTGCAGCAGGAAACACACTTCTGTGTCATCCTGGGGGATGGGGGCGCTTCGAAAAGACTGTTATTCCTATAATAACTGGTTGAGGAGGGGCTGCACGGCCGGCATTCAGCAGACCTCGGTGCCACCCGCCGACTCTGCCGGCCCCGGGTCCGATGGGAGGCTCCTCGCTGCTCCCAGGACCGTGGCTCCCCCGAGAGAGCCGCGGGGACAGGGGCGCTCCAGGCTCTCCTCCTCCTCCTCTTCCTTCTCATGTGCACGAGGCCTGCCTGGGGCGGACGGGGCCCGGGCAAGGGGGCCGAGGGCTCCTGGCGTCTCCCTGAGCCGGGGGGCACAGCCGACCCCAGATTTATGGAAAGACAAATGTGTGTGCACACACATTTACGTGCACAGAAAGGAGACGGAGGGGCAGGCAGTGGAATCCAAAAACAGCGCTCAGGCAGCTGGATCGGTCCGGCCTCTGGCCTGCAGCCGTACGTACCTCCAGGTCTCTCTGCATCGGGCCTACGTTCCTCCTACGACTGTCTTGAACCCAGAGGACGACGAAACCACCGCTCCCGGAGGGGAGGCGGCTGCGCCCCGCACCCTCGGGGGCAGGGGAAGGCTGGCCGCGGCGCCGGCAGGGATGCTGACCGGCCGGCCCTCTTACCTGAAGAGTCTCTGGGGCGCGTCGTCTGCTGCGAGTGGTCTCTTCTCAAACAAGCTTCGGAATTCCCGGAAGTTCAAGGTGACACCGAGTCGCAGGCCCAGCAGGCCCAGCAGGCGCTCGAACTCCTGGTCCTTGAGGTTGAACAGCAGCTGCCGCAGCAGCCGGTGCAGGTCCTGCATGCTGACGATGCCGTCCCGGTCGGCGTCCATCCTGAAGAAGGCCGCGTAGGGGTTCTGGAGGCGAGACACGCACCCGTCAGAGCCCTCCCGCGGACGCGGGCGACCACCGGCGTGTAAGCTGCACGCTCGGGCTCTCCGCCCACGTGGGGGAGGGGCAGAAGGGATAGGCCGTGTTCGCTGGGCCCTTTGCATACAGAGCTCAGCAGAGGGGCCAGAAAGGCCCTGCCTTCCCTGCCCTGCTCTCGGGTTACGGCCCGGCACCCCGGTACCAGAGGGGGGGTGTGCTGGGTGGGGGTTTTCAGAGCAGACGAAAACCCTGCTCTCTGCGTTCCCACGTAACTTTCACCGCGTCTGCCGCCTGCTCCGCCGGAAAACAAGAGCTGCGTGCGATGTCGCCCCGAGGAGCCGCCAGAGGCCGGTGCTGTCTCTGGCCACTTGCTATCGCTCGGGCCCTGGCTGGGACCCGAGTGCCTGCCGCTGCCGCCCACGGACCGTGCACGGTGCCTGGTCTCTGGCGGCCACGCTGCCCGGGGGCTCGGATTCCCATTTTGCAGATGAGGAAATGGAGGCTGCGTGCACTGAAGGGGCGTACTCTGGAGTCGGGGGGCTGAGCCTCACACCCCAGCTCTGCCGCTGACCTTGGGCAAGAGAGGTGTTTCAACCTTGCCACCCCTGTCATCTGTAAAGGGGGCGGTGCCCGTCTCTGGCTGGCTGGCTGGCTGGCTGTGGGGACCGACTGCACTAACCCGTGCAGAGCACCTCGCGTTCCACCTTCATCGCCCTCCGTTACTTCTCTGCACAGACCCAGCTGTGGCCGCTCTGCACCTGCCTCTGCGCTTGAATGGCTGCTATTTCTCCTGTCTCCGCGGCTACAGGTGTCCACGTGAAGCCCGTCCTTGTCACACTGAGCCGCGAGGTCTTCCCTGACAACCACGGCCTGTTTGCCACCTGCCTCGCGCAAGCTCCCTCCTCTACTGTTTGCTGCCTTCATTCCCGGCCAGCACATGCTGAGGGCTTACGAGTCGGTTCAGGGGTCACCTCCTCCAGGAAGCCCTCCACAAGGGGGTCTTTTCCCCGTGCCCCCACCGCACGCTGCAGGTCCCTCTGTGACAGCCCACCACGACGGGCCTGAGTTGTCTGTCCACCGGCTGCCTCCTGGGCTGGACTGAGCTCCCTGAGCAGGGCCCGCACCTTATGCCCACATTTAGCAGAGCCGGGCACACGTGAGCAATGCTTGTTCGGTGAGTAAGTGGAGTGGAGAAATGGAGGAAGGGACCCTAGATTTGCTGGGACTAGGGTTGCCGCGCCCTCTCTACCCCAGCCCCGCCCTCTTGTGGGAGGGTCTCCTTACTGGGTGTGTGTATGGGGGGTGGAGTCACACCCAAGGTGGCTGCGTGGCTGTGGGGGTGCAGGCAGCCAAGCAGCAGACAGGGCCCCACTCACCCGGAAGAACTCCTTCAGCCTCTGGGGGAGAAGCTGCAGGCATTCTTCAGCACTGACAAAGTGGCTGCTCAGGTCACCCTTTGGAGGAACTGCAGTCTGAGGTAGGGTCGCCTGTAGCCCTTCCGTACCTGAAACGGACACACAGGTCGGAGGACGCCCTCAGGGGCGTGCACACCCTCAGTGGCGCGTCTGCATTCCCACTCCGCACTTGGGCGCCCCCTGCCCCAGGCCGGTGGAAAAGCAGTGCGCAGAGACCCGCCCTGCGGACGGGCCCAGCAGCAGCTCTGCCGGGCCGGGCTCCCGTCCCTCGGTTTCTCAGACACTTGGCTTTGCTGTCACCACGGGAAGACGGGTCCGGGTCCCCGTAGGCTGCCGGGGCTCCTGCCCAGCACGTGCTGACCATCCCCCCGAACCGCCCCCCCCCACACACGCCCCCTCATCTTGCCTCCCCGCCCCCCTCCAGGGCAGGGCCGCATGGTGTTCATCTCCGCCTGCCCGGGGCAGAGAACGAGGAGGACGCCTGCCTGGCTCCTCTTCCCCAGGATCCTGCCCGAGACAGTCGTTGACCCCACAGGCCCTTCCCGACCTGCTGGGTCCGGGGCTTGGTCCTCCCCGCCAAGGTTCCCTTCCTGTGCCGAGTTCGCCCACAGGGAATCACACTATTGCGCGCACCCGACTTGGGAGGGGACGGAGGCCCAGGGGTGGCCCCGCCCCCAGGCACAGTGCTCGTGGGCAGCACCCAGGCCCTGCACCCAGGCCGGTCAGACTCCGGAGCCCAGCCGGCTTCTCGCCGCGTTCTGCCCTCTGACCCCTGCACTGAGGAAGGCATGTGACCTTCCACGTCCGTCGGCTGGGGTCGTGGGGGTGCGGCCCTGGCTACGGCCAGGGTTGTGGTTCTCTAAGCACGCAGCACCCACGCCCTCCGCACGGATGAGGCCTGCGGGATGGGCAGCAGGCACGGCGTCCGGAGCCCGTCGGCGTGCTCTGGTCCAGGCGTGCACCGGGCCCCCGCTCTGCTCTACCTGGGCCCACAGTGGCCATCCTCAGGCTCCTGACGCCTGGCAGGTAACAGCCCCCCGGCAGTGACCCTGCGTGGCCATGCCCCCAATCCAGACCTCCAGCCGGGAACCTCAATCCCCCACCCACCGCCAGCCACACCGCCGCTTGGTGCGTGGAGGGATGGGCGGCCCGGGCGGGCGGGAGACTGTCCCAGCGGGTTCACCCCGGGCGCTGAGCTACCTTCAGCTCTGGTGGTGAAATGCAGGTCACTCCTCCCTTCTTTCTTGAATCCCATTCTGGCAGTCGTCGGCTGGGCATACTGGTCGTCATCCATGGGCATTCCCTGATCTTCCAGCGCCTGACAGGAAAGCAAGAGAGGGAGAGGCGGTCAGGCTGTCCCGGGCCTGCCAGCCCTCCAGCCCACAGCGGGCTCACCACCGTGGCCCCTGCGCTCCAGCCTTCAAACAGTGCTCGTCTGGCCCCGCCCACAGGCCCCGGGCTGCGTGCTGAGCCAATGAGTGAACAGGGGACAAGTGGGCGTGGCTTTCGGGCAGCCTGCAGACTTCCCAGAGGCCCAGCTGGCGGGGATGCCCAGATGCACGTGCCCCGTGACTGCGTCTGAGCCTCGCAGGTCGGGTTTGCACCCACACGTGCGCTGGGAAACACGGACAGAATAAGCACGGCAGTTGGAGGAGGAAACACTAACATGTTCGTTCAAGTCTCACTACCATAGATGGTCCTCATTGTCGGCCATGCTCCGGGTGCGGCGCCTGCTTCTCTCTCCTCGGGCGAGTCCACTCTCCGAATGTCCCCCACGACCCCTCCCCCACCACCCAGACCTGCCGTCTGCAAACAGCTCCCATTTCGTGTGTGCATGTGCGTGGGGGGGGACACTGCGGAGACACCCTCCCTGCACTGCCGGCAGTGAACCGGGAAGAGCCGGGCGACGCTGTCCCAGGGGGTCGGCTGGGCCGGCCAGGAGGCACGTGCTGGCGCCGCCCCTTTGCCCGTGGCCGGGCAACAACCCACAGAGCTGCCAGCCCGGAGGTGACGCCCCGGAAGCGATGCTGGGGGGGCCACTGGCAAACGGAAGACACCACCCCTGCTGCTCTCAAAGCATCTGCGATTTAGATGAGAAAACATGGCTTTCTTCTAGAAAAAGGACGCAGAACAACCATTCAAAATATGCCTGTGCCTGTGTCACCACCGCCATCACCACCAAAATGTCCAGCATGATGACCACCGGGCCCCCAGGGCAGGGAGAGAAAGCTGCCTGGGAGAGCTATGTCGGGAGGTGAGCTTCCAAGAAAACGCATCGGAGGCCTGGGGTCACACAGGTCAACAACCATCATCTTCATCACCATCATCACCATCACCACCACCATCACCCCATCACTATCACCACCACCACCACCACCACCACCACCACCCCATCAACCCCATCATCTCCAAGCAGCACTGTGTATGGTAGGCCTTGAGTAAGTCTCACTGAACCCTTATAATAAGCCTTGAGGAAGTCCCTCTTACTAACCCCATTCTGAAGATGGGGAAGCTGAGGCTTAGAGAGTCTAGGTGACTTGCCCCAGTTACATGATCAGGAAAGGACAGACCTGGGGTTCTTCCTGTTAACCCCTACTATGAACTCTGCTGTCGGACAAGGTCACGGGGCCCGTAGTGTGGGGAGGTCTCTACCCGGGAGCCCTGGCGCCCTCCCAGGCATCCAAACCGGCCACACGGGCAAAGACCCGTCCGGGGCCTGGCAGAACGCCTTGAGCCATCCCCGGAACAAACACCAAGGACGGGAGCCTCTAGGGGTTGCCAGGGAGACCACCCCCCCAGCCCCCCATTTCTCCCGGAGGCTACCACGGCCAGGTTCTCCCGGCCTCCAGGCTCTGATGAGGCGCAGAGCCTTGGGCCCCAGCCTCCTCATAGGAGGGCTGCAGTGCAGAAGCCCACCCAGCTGCAACAGGTGCCCACCGCCTGCAGTGCGGTCACCCACTCCTTCTGTTTGGGCGCTGCTCTTTCCAGTTTGCGGGGCCAGGGCCCCGGGAGCTGGCCCCCTTGGCTGTGCATGTCAGTGACAAACTGCACGCGACAGCGGCTCCTTGTACCTGTGCCGCCCAGCTCGTCAGGCCCTGGACTGGCTAGGCTCGTGTGTGTGTGTGTGTGTGTGTGTGTGTGTGTGTGTGTGTGAGAGAGAGAGAGACAGAGAGAGAGAGAAAGCTGCAGGATGTGTTGGCGCAGGGTGGGAAACCGAGGGGAAGGGAAGGGAATGCAGGTGTTGCTGCGTTGTCTGTGGCCTCGCGGGGGGGCAGCGCCGGATTCCAAGGCTGTCCCAGGGGCCTGCCTGGGGACTCGGGCAGGCTGCGCGTGACTGGGAACCGGGCAGCTCTGCGCCATCTGCACACGCACCGTCCCGGCTCCGCGGAGCACCCAGTTCCAGCCCGGCACGGAGGAGCACGTGTTTGCCGGAACGCTGGGGAAGCGGCCGTGGGTCTCTGAAATGGAGAGATCGGTCGCTTCCTTTGAAGAATAACTTCATATCTTGAAAACAATCGCACGTGAATTATTCATCGCAAAATCCTGCTGCTCAGCCCTTCCATAAAAACACATGTAGCGGAGGGTAAGAAAACGTCGGCCGGAAAACGTCTCACAGCCGGGAGGGTTGGGAGGTGCGGGCGGCGGGGTGCGCGGGGGCGGCCTGGCCAGCGGTGCGGACGTGTGACCCGGCGGCACAGAGCGATGCACAGGAGTCAGTCCCAGGGATGCGCCGCCAGAAGAGGCACGGCGCTGTGCGGGCCCCCGCCTCCCGGTGCGCGGCTCTCCTGCCCAAGGTGACCACAGCAGCTGGTCAGCAGGGCTGGCCGCAGCCATTGGAGGCAACGTGCGATACAACGTGAAGCTGAACCGCAACATTTGTGAAACAGATTTTCAAGCGTTTAACCATCCAAGTTCACGGTCTCTGGGCTCTCCTAGGAGGCACTTCCCTAAGAAAGTTCTTCAGAGTGACGACCTGTGGCCTCACACACTCTGAGTCACCCGTGGTCACCGTGCACCCGGGGACGCCGCTTGGACCGTGGACTGGCCCCTCCCTGTGCGGCCTTCCCAGCTCACCCTGCGCTCGTCCGGCTCACTCCTCCTGATCCTGCTCGTTCTCCCCGGCACACGACTGGAAGCTGGGCGGCCAGCTCACCGTCCCTGTCTGCCGACGCCCAGCAGCGCACAGCCTCCCGAGACGGGGCCGCCCCGGGCTGTGTGTGTGGTGACGCAGGGCCTCCGAGCCACCCTCCTTGTGGCTGCTCTGAGGACTCCAATACACACCCTTAACTCTTCATCGTCCGTTTAGACTTGACCGTGAACCACCCCGCTAACACGCAGAACGCCCGCGGCCCCGTGGGTCCTTCCCAGCCCCCGCCCTCTGTGCTACTTCGTTCTCCGTGCGTCTCCAGTGCGCACCCCCGCCCTGTAAGGCCGCGTCATGACGTTTGCCCTCAACACTCTTACGCACCGTTCCTAAATTCAGAAAAATTGCCTTTTACGTTTAATCAGTTGTCCGCATTTCCAGTGTTCTTCATTCCTTCAGGAACATCTGAGCCTCTCTACCTAGTTCCGAATTCTTTCAAACTGAAGAACTTCCTTTAATGTTTCTTACAGTGAAGGCCTCCTGGTAACATATTATCTTGGTCTTCTGTTTTTCATCTGAACACATCTTTACTTCCCCTCGCTCCTGAGGAGACCAGTGCTGGATGTAAATTCTGTGGGGGGAGGGCTGGGGGGGGCTCCCCTTTGCACACGGTCGGTCGGTCGGTCGAGCCGTCGCCCCGTCTCTGGCCAGCGCGGCTCCGGGGAGCGGTGGGCGGCGGTGGCTCCGACTTGCTCCCGAGTGGAATGTGCGTGTTCACGCGCTGCTTCAGCGGTTCCCTCCCTGACTTCAGTTCTCAGCGGTTTCCCTCCGATTTTCCTTGTGTCTGTCTTACTAGGGCTTTCTGAGCTGCCTGAATGTTCATTTAGCACTTTCACCAAAAATCGGGGCATTCCAGCCACGGTTCCCTCACGTGTCTTCCTCTCCTGCGCGACTCCGGCCGCGCCTGTGCCCGGAGGCCCTTGGGCGCGGTCCCACGCGCCCCCAGCCCAGCCGCTGCTCTTGTTCTTTTCTCCGTTCGCACGATCTCTACGGATGTCTCTCCACGCTCACGAACGTCCTTTCGTCACCTCCATCCTGCGGTTGAGCCCATCTGGTGAGTTCTTTTATTTCGGACATTTTATTTTTCTGTTCCGGAGTTTCCACTTGCTCCTTTCACCTGCTGAGACTTCCCCCATCCCCGTGCATTGTGACTACCTGTCCTCACTGACATCCCCAGGCACAGTCGTGACAGTTACCGGGGCGTCCGGGGGTGCCGTGACTGATCCGGTCTTCCTTCCAGACCGGCAGAACCTCCTCTGTGTCGGCGACAGGGCTGCCGCACCTTCTTGTCGTTCACGGGGGTCCCACCTTTCATCTCCTCTGAGACCCTCCCCTGGCTCTCACCACTGGCTAACAAGAGGCCTGCCTCCACTCCCCACACGTCCTCTTCCTCACTAAGCTCAATCATTTCTAGCTGCTGGTTTTTACAGTGAAAAGCGTGTAACTCTCCCTTTCGGCTGGACACTGAAAGGCCACCACAGGGTTACTGACTGGCCAGGTTTTAACACCGCTGGTCTCAGGAAATAGGCCCCCGGAGAGGAGCAGGGGCAGGAGCGGTGAGCCAGCGGAGCCGTCAGGACACACGCTGTTTGTCAGGCCTGCCCTCTCACAGCGGGCACAGTTGTGGTGCCCCAAACAACTGCGACGGTCGTGTCGAAGGTCGCTCGGGCCCAGACCAGCCTGCCCAAGGTCACGCGGTTGTTGAGGACAGAGCTGGGGTCCGAACCCCGGCAGCCTGGCTCCAGAGTCAACATTTCAAATCACCATACGAAAGTACGTACTGACAAGGTCAAAGTGGGGAAGGGCTGAGGGTAGGAGGTGGGAGGTGGGGGTGGGGGGTGAGGGGAAGTGTTGGTGGGAAAATGGAGACAATGATAAAAAATGCAAAATAAAATCAAGTAAAAAGTATGCACTGAGTACTTAGGTTCTGCTGGGGACAGGGCAGAGGACGAACAAGACAAAGACAGCCGTCCTTGTCCGCCTCGGTGGGGGACACAGCTGCAGGGAAGCAGCTCCCTCGGGAGAGGAGCTGGCTTGAGCCGCTGCGACGGGGAAGCGCCGGAGAGGAGCAGCGGCCAGAGAGTGAGTGAGGCTCGGGGGAGAGGGCGAGGGGCACGGGGCCTCCCGGGGAGAAGGCCCAGGGGCGAGGACACAGGGGCTGGGGATGAGCCGCG